AAGCGAGCCCGTGACACCTTATTGCTCCTCGTGAATCTCTAAGGAAATTTGGAAAATATTGCCGAGAGCGATTCATAAAACTTTTCCTCTCGTCGTCCGAACGATCATTATAAGTTTCGACACGCCGCTGCCATTAACAGGAACAACTGCAGCAAAATCTACGCGAACGAATAATTGCGACGATAATGCATAAATGGAGATTCTTTTATTAAATTTAGAGGTATCTCATATCTAATCGATTATTTCTTTATATATTTCCAGAGAAATTCTATTCGTCGAGAATCGCGCGCTAATAACATGAATAAATACTACTATATTTATTTATTGGAAAGCTCCGCGCAATAATTGACATTTTTTTTTTTTTTTTTTGTAAGTTGGTAAAACAATGGCCTTGAAAAGTCCGTTTGATTAAATGACTTTTTCACGTCATAGTCTTATGTAAATGAAATTGTCAGGCACTGCGATATTATAAAATAGTTTTATGTGCGCTGTAAACTTTAATACTTTCAGTTGTTGATAACGTATCCATCCATATAAAATTTAAAATGCAAAGCTTCTGTGAAAGTGAACTGTTAAAGCTATCAAAGAGAATACTATATACTAAGAGAAAAATGCTGATTTTTGTAAATTATTCTTTTCCCCAAAGCTAAATTTTCCTCTCTCGTTCTCTCTCTCTCTCTCTCTCTCTCTCTCTCTCTCACACACACACACACACACGCGCGCGCACACACACTATTTTAAATGCGAAGATTCAAGGATTAGTAACCAAGCTGATATCAAGTGGCCAAAGGCAAATTCCATACTCTTGTTACTTTGAAAAAGTTCTGAATGATCCAATAGCTTTAATCGGAGGAATTTATGTATTTCATGAATTTCTGCGCCTGAGTTAATAAAGCACGAAGCAGAGAGTGATTTTAGTCACCGAGCAAAAAGCTAAGAACCACGCATCGAAAATGCTTACTAGGCAAAGAGGAAGGGGGACAGAGTGGTAGGGGAGCCGGTAATGTCGGAGAATGACGAGCTACTGATAATGGATCATCAGGTCGATCATACGCTATAAGTATTTAATTGGGAGGTAGAAGGCATTCGTGTTGATCAACAGCTCTGGACACTTTGAGATTGACTCGCACACTTACCAGACTAACGCATTTACCATTTACCGTTTACAGAAATACTTCGATTCTTCGGCTTTTGTAATCGATACTGGTAATACACAATATGAGCCTGATTGTAATGTTTCTCGTTGAATCTCACTTCGCTTCCGTTTATTTGAAAAATTATCATTCATTTAATTTGCTCACTCGAACTCGTCTTCTTCCCAATACAAGTCATCACGTTCAAAATTAAGTAACGATGTGCTGAGAAACTATGATACATGCTATAAAAATTATCGAATTCGCAGGATAAAGAGAGAAATTATGCGTATGCGTGCGTGCGTGTGAACTCGGGCGTATACGTCATTCGTAGATTTCCCATTTACTCGATAAAACTGTGAAATAAATCCGTCTTACAAATAAGTTAAATGTAAGTTGAAGTAAATAAAAAAAAAATATATATATATATATATATATATGATTAATAAAAAAATACTATGTAAAATTGTAACTGTAGAATTACGATTTTTCTTAATTTTAATTTAAATAATAAAAAATCCTGTAGATCAATAAAATTGAATTCACTTAAAAATATTTATAGCGAAGTTGAAATGGCCGATGTAATGCTGATAATACAATTTATCGAGGTTAAGTAAACAGAATCTTGTTAAACTTAGAAAACATTGTAATTAACCTGTAGAGTAAGATATACATTTGATATTCAATATCTCAGCAAATCAATTAGTTTCAATCTGAGATAATTAATGGAAGTATCTTTAAATCGCAGGCTTATAAAAATAAATATACACATGCTTTGTCAACATTAGTAGTGAAAGTACGTTTATTAGTATAAATATAAAATTATCTTCCTTTAAAAGTGCTATCAATTTTAAATACTTTTAGTAACATGTGAATAATACGTTATGCAAATTTTTCGAAATATTCCAAGACTTGAGAGTAAGTTTAGGTTTTGGTATAATATATTTATATAGCCTAAGAGCTTAAGCTTTTTTAAGAAATTAAAATGAAATTTTTAAAACTTTGTTGAGCATTAAACGTTGCTTCGATAAATCATGACCGTACCAATGCGAACGAACCAATTTACCCAATGCAAGTGTGACTTCATATTTAATAGAAATGCCGATTAATCTCAATTAATAAAAGCATCGAAGGCATTATTGCGAGGGCGCGCTCATCGTTCTGCTAAACGTGCTCGATGCCTCGCGGAAATACAAATGACTACAGCCGCGTAAGGTGCTTCCGCGTGCGTACGGAAGTGGTACGTCCGGAAAATCGAGTGGTAAGGGGTCGTCCGCGTGAGCGTCCGTCGCTGCTCCATTATCGATTCCCTTGACGAGAGTGGCGCATGCTGATAGTCGGGGCGGGGCAACAGGGGATAGCGAGTGCGGCACGCGAGCGTCGCCTGATGGGGATGGCGGGCAAGACTGTGCCTCGCAAGTATCTAGGACCCCGGCGGCTAGGCATTAACAAGAGTATTACCGAGATATATGGAGACCGAGGTCCGAGGAGCTTTCGTGCGATAAAGAGAAGAAAAGAGTCCTTTTCCCCGTTGTAATTACGCATGAACTATGTTTGGGTCGAATTTGATTAGTCCTTGGAGGTGAAACGAGATGTTCGTTGTGGGCCCGCTGCTACGTGGGCATAGGGTACATATTGCTCGGGAATATTGTTACTTTGGAGAATTACTATCTTATATTGATTTGGCTACTGTAGTAGTTATAAGTATAATTCGAATAGGTACCGTGACGCTTTATTTTATTTTGAAGCCTTTCAAAACAATAACACGCTAGCCAGTATTTGATAAAATGGAGCTACGGATTTTTTTTTTTTTTTTTTTCTTTTCTTTTTTTTTGTAATTATGTAAGAAGGAGACACTTCGTTAATTCGTTATTTTTCATTTTAACAATATCCATTTGCTAGGTGAAAATAATTTATTCTGTAAATAAATGATATACTTGGGTTAAGCGGCTGTTATGATAAGTGAAAAGTTTGTTCAAAATGCGGCATACATCACAAATGCATCATTAACGCGTACCACGACCAAAGCATAACAAAATACAAAACTTGTAAATATACTGAATTGTAGGAGACAACCGTGAAAGTTGTTAAATTAATCAATTGTTCGTAATGCAGAGATATGTACATAATTGTTCTAGACAAATACCGAGTCTGGAATATCCCACTATAATTGAGCTAACTAAAGACAATTAAACGTATAAATCTGTATGCACGTGCGTGAAAGGAAACGTAATATGGAAGAACTTTTCTCCCGGAGGTACAGTCGACACTGAAAAGTGAATCAATAATAGAGCAATTGGGTCATCAGCCCCCAAAGAAAAACGACTGAAAATTTTTAAAACCACGCAATATTGGCTTTATGAGAAAGCCATTGTCAACGTGACGTTCATAATTAAATAAAATAAAATAAAGAAAAAAAATAAATAATTAAATAAAAGAACGTCGATCCAAATGTAATAATAGGCCGTTATGAAACACACAACAAATATAATTATCATAGATCACTATATTTAGCTGATATTATTCTCTTGCACCGTCAATAAGTCAATGTATCTTAAAAATTTATTCTCGAGTCTTAAAAGTAGGATGAAATACTTTTTTTCAACGTCGTTCATAATCTTTCCTTATACATGAAAAGTAGTGCACAACAAGGCGACGCTTTAAAGAATCTTAAAAAAAAAAAAAAAAAAAAAAACAGGAAAAAGAAAAAAATCCAAATAAATTATTGCCGCTATTGCACGGTCTTACATAATTCTTTGCTTCTTCAAAGATACTAATGTCTCCAACTGACCTCGATATGCTATCTCCTCTCTCTCTCTCTCTCTCTCTCTCTCTCTCATTCTTTCTCCCCACCCTCTCCCTACTTCCGTCATCCTACTTATTGTCACTCTTGCTCTCACCCTTACATCTATCATTGTACTTTAAACAATATATTATCAGCTCACTCATGACTATAAAAGCAAAGTCCAATCAACCCTTCATCATGAGAACTTTCGCGTAAACAACTTTGAGACTTGATCTGATGAAAGAAAAAAAAAAGCGATTGTACATGCTACATAAGCGTGACAGTTACAATTAAATAAAATAATATTATATTATTGTATGCATAGATGGTTTAAACATCTAGTGCTTCCTATCTAACCACAAATATTAGTTTGTCTTTTTGCACGTTGGGATAATATTTTACAATTTGATAAAATAAACATTGACATAAGTACTATATGGTATTAAGCATCATATTGAAATGTGACCCGTAATTAAGCATATGTCAATGTTCTAATTTTCAGTTTGGCATACAATATGAATGCCATAGAGTGGAAGTAAATATCCATCGTAGCCGAAACAATTACATAAATTAGGATAACCGCATATGCATTATATTAGTAGTTATTGCGATTGTCCTCGAAAGAACAAAAAACGATGGAATAAATAATGTGCACCCGAGTTCTTTAGGCACTGATCCAAACGAAGTGGATCGATGTACGAAGCAATTGGCGAGAGGAAAAAATTCACCGTATCCGAACGGACAGCTCCATAATCGGTAAAATTGATTCCAAGTGACGAGTATCAATGACAAGTGTAAAGTAATTTGCACCGCCCAGTTCATAGAAAAAACGCAAATGAAGAATTATCCACCTCTTCCTCCTCCTCCTCTTCCTCCTCCTCCTCTTCCTCCTCTTCCTCCTCCTCCACCGCCACCTCCTCCATCTCCTCCTACTACATCTCCAACAACTTCTTACGCCCTTTTACTTCTTTATCGCACGAACAAACGTACGCGCCCCCTTGTATTGTCGAGGTGCAGGGTTCGGTAGGAACTCAGGGCGCACCCAGCCAAAGAGAGAATAATGTCGAAAAATTATAGCTCACCTGTACAAAGTGCAGATTCTCCTTGTCAAGGAGGAACTCCATGGATTTGTGAGGTCGCTGGTGTCCGGCGGCAGCCTCGCTCCCGGGCTTTCCACGGTGATGGTCGAGGTGACAAGCGGCCCTGCCCTGGCAGCATTCGTCGTCGTCTACATCGTCGTCGAGCAACTCCTCGCCGAGCTGCTGTTGCTGGGGATGACGGTGATGGTGGTGCTGGAGATGATGGTGATGGTGATGGTGACACTGATGGTGCCCGTTATGCTGATGGTTGAGGTTCAGGAGGCTGCGGGCCTTCTTGCTAGCAGCGGCCTCCTCGGGATCAACGGGCGCGTCGAGGTCCGTCTCGAGGAGGCCGACGGGCCTTTGCTGTTGCTGCCGGCGTTGCTGTTGCTGTTGCTGTTGCTGTTGCTGTTGCTGTTGCTGCTGCTGCTGCTGATGCTGATGCTGATGCTGCTGCTGCGGGCGATCCGGGCTGGCGAGCATCGCGGCGCGCGCTTTCGCCATCTCGATGGCCGCGGGGCTGCCGAGGTCCGTGGCGGCGCGTCTGCGCGACGAGGTTGCGACGACGCCTGCGTCCGCGGCGCCGAGGCCACTCGTGCGCAGGCACTGGGGCGGCAGGGGTGGCTTCTTGCTGCTGCACACTGGCGGCCTCCCGTTGGCGCTGAAACAACCACGACGAGGGCGGATTGTAGTAGGTGCGCGTAAGATAAGGAGGAATGAAAGAGCCGAGGATGCGCCTCGTTTTCCAACGCTTCTTGCCTCTCTTTGGTTATCAATTATTCGCTGTCAGGCAGTTCTCGGCTTATCGAGCGCGAATCGAGAGCTCGAAGATACGAAGCGTTCTTTTTTGACCTTAATGATAAGAAGAGGTTGGTTTTGTTATCGGCAGGGGCCGAGTCGCGGGCTTTCGAGAGACTTTTGTAATTATTCGTTAGAGGGATTGCGATTTGTGGGTTGGACGATAAAGAGGCTGCGATTGTTAATTAAATTGATAGGCCACCGTTGTTTTGGATGTAGGGCAAAAACTTTATGATATTCGAACGATATTCCGTATTTTGGCCGATCTACGTTCATTGATTATGTAGATTATCGATATGCCGACTTTTCGTATTTGCGGACGATTGTTTTCGCTTTAAACTAGTTTCCGACGTTCGCTTTAACCAATATTCCTTGCTTAGTTTATGGAAATTAATTGTAAACCTGAGGTAATATTCAATTTTTTCCCCTCGATACTAGCAAGTTAATTTTAATATTTTAGATTTTAGATCAAAGAAAGCTGGTTCTTTGACCAAAAAGATTATTAAAAAAGAAATTTGTAAAAGCTTTAATTAAAATATCAATTTACTCAATTTTCTACAACAAAATTGCATCAAAGGCATAGAACGTTTACATTAACTTGGCATTGTATTATGTATACTAAAAATAAAAGGATCGTTGATAATTTATTTATAAGGTAATAACATAATATTGTCTTCATTAGATTATAGTGAATAATAAAAATATCAATATTGCAAATTGTTATGAAACTTTAAAATTTTTTTTTACACCTAAATTATTTGAAAGCTTTCGTATACAATAATCAATTTAATATTTTACGAATGATATAATTAATGTTTTATTTTTTCCGTATCAGTATATAAAGTACGTACGACCATAGTATGAAAGTGTATATGGACAAGAGATGGTTAGAGTTCCAATGATATATGTACAATAGCTAAATATTATATGCAATAGTATATTTTTTATCCACTTGGTTCAAAATTACTAGAAATTTATCCTATCTTTCTTTACAAGGAAAAACCAAAAAGAAAAAGAAAAAAAGCAAAAAGAAAATATAAATAATAAAAGTTTCAATATACAGATAATTATATAGATTTATATTTAAATAAGAATTATTATTAAATCAAAATTATTATATCTTCATTGCTCGCTCTTGGAAGACAAAATTTTGTCTCACACTATATATCTATTTAATTAATTACTATTTATTATAATCAACTAAGCAGGCATCTTTATAGCTGCCAATATGGTCACTTAAATATAATATTATAATAAAGTATATTTTTACAAGTCTAACACATTACTTTTTATAAATGTATTTTTTTAATGGATAATCTATTATAAAAAGTAAACACTAACAGGAGAAAAATAATGTTATATATAAATCTAAAAAATTGGTTAAATAAAATATGTACACGCGCGCGCGTGCGCAAAATTAAACCTGTAAAAAAATTTAATCTTTAAAATACTCGAAACTTATCTTAAGCTTGATAATATAACGCATGAAAATTTTACAAAGTATGTTACGATCTAAATGAAAAAAATCTCTAATCTTGCCGTTTGTCATTAAAAAATATATTGAATACAATTCGGCGTACAATTTAATCGAAGCGTGGCAAAATAATAAAGGACTTTATACACACATAAAAAAAAAAAACTAACGGAACATAATGCAGAACCGTGCGTGTAAATAAAAGTTTCAGAGGCTTCCGAATTGAAACACAATTTAGTGGGATGTCGCGATCGATTTAAGAATCACTGGCCTCTATTTCTGTTATCGCGCCACGTAATTTATCAAAAATCCCAAGAATCGCGCTCCGTATAATTAGATAATTTTGCAACGGCGATCAATCAGTGCCAAAAATTAAATATTGCCGCTATTGCGCGGCGGGCCGACGATTAAAAGCATCAAGCAAATCGGAGCACGAACGTCAAGTTGCCCTCTCGCTCACTCACGGCACGTACGTCAGATGTGCGAAAGTCGACTAGCGACTAGCAGTCCAATGCGCGACTACGAGGAGTAACTGTATGTGGCCGGATGCAAATATATTATTTATAGTGCTGCCGATTGTAGAGTGGATCTCTTAAATGGAATTAAGTAAGTTCTGGTCTTTAAATGCGCGCGCGTCGATCAATCAATAGCATCGAACTTCCCATCCGCCCGCCGCACAATACAATTAATCCAACAGCGTTTGAGTAATCTATGAATGCATTTTTGACGATAAGTCGTCATTATATCACTGTTACGATTGTTTAATAAATGTCAATATCAGTGGAAGGACTATAGGGACGATCGGATCATTTCCACATGGTCGTCGTTCGCTCGAGTAATTAAAAGCCACGGTAATATTAAAAATACCGAACAAGACACAAGATTTTCACGTGAATAACTATTAAGACGATCTATGGCAAACTTCTCGTGTGATAAACCACCGATAAGCCTCTGTCACTAATTTACCCACGAGGAAAAACGATAAAAATGTTATAAAAATAAAAAAGATAAAAAAGTGTTTCTCTCCTTTCCCCTCCCCCACCCCTCCCATCGCCCCACCCCTACCCTCACCGCTACCCCTCCTCCTCCTCCTCCTCCTCCACCTCATCCACCTCATCCACCTCATCCACCTCATCCACCTCATCCACCTCATCCACCTCATCCACCTCATCCACCTCATCCACCTCATCCACCTCATCCACCTCATCCACCTCATCCACCTCATCCACCTCATCCACCTCATCCAGCAACCCCTTCACACCATGCGTTATCAACCACTCGACACTCACTGCTGGCCGTAATAAAAATTCTGGCCATTTAAGCCTTAATTTCTCAATTAAAATCTAGTCGCTGTTACTTACACGTACGACACCCACATACCGAGTCGCTCTCGTTCGCCGTACTGATATGCTCGAGAGCGGAGGACGAGGAGCGCGGCAGACCATCGGTGGCACGACTCTAAACGCGGCCATTAATAAAAGTTTCAGCGAGCTCGTGCAAATCCAGCGTAATAGCAATGTGGCGCGAGCTCGGTGGCAAGGGCCAATAATTGAGCCGCTTAATGAGAGTAGCCGCGCGAAATTCAATTGTCGCGAATTGAGCACACGACGGTTGCCCTCTTTGCCCTTTTATACGCCCCCGTCGCCCCTCCACGGACACCGCCCCCGCGACACCGCGTCCACGACGTCGCAAAAGCTGCGCGACTTTTTCCCGCGCGAGGTCGCATCGAACTGCGGAATACGAACGAGCCAATGCTGCGACGAGCGTTAATTGTCCCACTACTGACCGTCAATTTACCTCGAACGCCGGGCACTGCGTCGTGACCCACCGGGACGCCCGTCTCCACGAACATTGGGAAAAGCTCGTCCACGTGCCGTTTGTCGATGTGCGCTCCAGGCCAATGGCAATCACAAACTAATACCCGGCTCCAACGACACCTACCATCGGATTTTCCCGTTGACGAAAGTCCACTTTACTTTAACGCGTGCTCTCTCACTCCAGTCACCCTAGTAGTACGGTATAACGCTACGACAGAGTTGATGAGTTTCTTTGTTTGTTTTGTTTTCTTTTTTTCACCGTACAATACCGTAAAATCGTGGCTAACGCGCGCGGTATGATATATCGTCCGATAGAATTCAAATGCCATTAATTATTTAAAGAAATAAATCAGACACGTGGGCCTGATAAATTTCGCGAGAGCTCGTTAAAGAGACTTTAATTAGTGTCAACGATCGAGGTAAAAGATTATCGCGAAATATATTATTATTTATTCGGCTCGCGAATCGGCACCGAAAAATTGATTGGGAAAGCCTATCCCTCCCTCAGCTGTCTCCCTCTAAAACGAGCGTCGCGCCTCATCATTCGATACTAAGGCGAAAGCAACGTCTGTCTTACTGGACACACAGAGCCAATTAACCGCGCACACGACTCAAGAGCAAACGGTAAATCATTCGACGAGCAATATCGGCTATTTACACGTGCACCGAAATGGCGAGGAGGAGAGGTCGTAAGCTGCGATCACGGTCCCGGTGCGTAATTTATAGTCCGTCAGCCTCGTACGAGACGGAGGAAAAACCTCGCGGAGGAAAAATGCGAGAGGAAGCAGAGGTAGAAAGCCAAGGTATTAAACGCGCGCACTTAGGGGGAAAGGAGGTCGGAGATCTAGCGACGGCTCAACGATCGGATGATGCGCGATCGTTGCGCGACGATTTCCTTCGATCCCGTCGCAGCTGCGTGCGATCGATAAGCTCGCGTCGCTTGTCCCACGTAGGCGACCTGGAAATTTCCAATTCGCCCTCTTGAAAGCCGAGTGGCACGGAGCAGCGAGGCAGCGCGCACAAAGCCAACGTAAATAGTACTCTAATGAGGGCACGACGATTGCAGATCGGCTCGCCCGCAGTCCATTAAGAAATTACGGAGAAAGTGCCATCCGCAGCCCCCTTTCTCCTACGGAACGGCCGATCGACCCACCCCCGTGTCGTCCCGTCCCGCACAGCATTCCGCGGCGAAGCTTCATGAGGGTCGTAGAGAAAAAATCCCGACCATTATTTAGCGGCTAGGACGACGGCAACGATGATGCGATGCACCCTCCCACCACA